ATCGGATACAGAAACTTTCCTCAAACACACTCGATTCAGACAGAGAACAACTGAAATCAAACAATCTTGAATCTTAAGCAAAATTATTGTAAAAAAATCCTCACCCAACACAGTACCACATGAGAGTGTAAAAGGGCTCCAAGCTAAAACAAATATAGTTGAAAGCTTTAAGGGGAAGAGTGACTTACACATTCAAGCCAACAAAAGCAGTGTGAACAATCAGCCCAGGTAGAAAAAATGGGTCTTTTTCATCGTCCGATTAATATTTCAGAAAATGATCGCCATTCGAATGCAGGAAACTGTGTTGGTCCATAACGATGTCAATTATTGCTCTGCAAATTACCTTAATTAGAAATTGTGGAATTTTGAATCTTCTATATGAAACTTGTGGACAAATTTTTTTTATATTTTTTGGTTTCTCTCGAAATACTCTTTAATTATCCTCTCTAGTGCCCCCATGCATATTGGGTCGTAGGCTGCAAAAGAGTCTAGTTGAGTTCAGCAAGGAGTTTGTTGGCGAACTTTTTGTTCACTGTTCGAGTTCGAGCTCGACGAGCCATATAAAACGTTGTTCGACCAGGGGCGACGAGCCATATAAAACGTTGTTCGACCAGGGGCGATTTTACATGTATTAGTAGGGGGCAATTTCCCCCCTCAATTTTTTTTTTTTACTATTAATATTAAAAAAATTGTAATTGCCCCCTATTAAATTTATTTTTGCACCACCATACCCAAATTTTTTTTTTTTTTATGCTTGTTTGTTATCTTTTACAAATTATGTCATGTCTTTTGCTCACTCGTCACTAATTTTCTGGTTTCGCCCCTGTGTTCGACTGAATTCATGAAAAAAAAGAATGCTCAAACTCGACTTGATGCTCGGTATGACTCGAGTTCGATGCAAAATTTTAGCAACTAAATTTTAAATACAAATGTATTATTTTTAATCTAAACAATAAGTCGAGCGGCTCATCGAGCTTACGAGCCTCTTGAAATGATGCTCGACAGGAGCTCCGGTTTGACCGAACTCGAGTCAAGCATCGACTCGAGCGCTTATGGGCCGCTCGACTCATTTGCAACCCTAGACAGTACACCGACAAATTCTTTTTTACTTATATATTTATAAGTTTTTTATGGTAAATATATTAACTTTGTGGTTGTAGTTTATTTTTTTGTTATTGGTTTCTAAATTAACATCATTATTTTTACTCATTTATGAATAATTTATGCATTTTCGTTTTGTTGATGGTGGGTCGCCAACGGCTACAAGACGTGTAATCAAGGCAGTTTATTAAGGGTTTACAATGTAATTATGGTGTGATTTAGATATTTGAGATATATACGAAGAGATTGTGAGGATCATAAATCAGTAGAAATAATAAGGGACACATGGTTTACTAATTGACTGTGGCGACTGGCAATGAGGGTTTTTCGTAGATTTTATTTAGATTAATATGTGATAATTACAAACAAATGCTTAGCATATGATCTTCACAAGATCAAATGAGGTAGGCAAGAATTTTGTAGTGGTGATCGTGATACTTTTTGGAAAATTAATGGGGAATGGCTTGAATGTATGTTTATACTCGGTTTGTATTTTGTTGGAATTGCCCCGGCTTCTTCCTTGAGGGTCGTTATTTATACACGAAAAAAGTATTGGTGAATTAAATATGGAGTGTCAGCTAAGGGCGTAGGGTGGCGTCAAGTGTATTCATGCAAAAGTTGATGGGACATATCGCGCGGTACTATCAGCTTTATTAGAGCACGTTCATATGGTCAAAGCGATCAACAACCTTCCTCGAGAAGCCACTGCGGGTGACCATCGTGTCGATCCAGCAATCGACAACTCTACCGATAATCAAGTGGACCGCCTGAGGAGCAGTTTTGTGCTCTTGGGCCTTGTTTGCCCATTTGGGCTGAGATTAATATATGCCACATCATTCTATGTGACCAGAATTTTATTGGTACAACATAGAGATTCCCAGGTTTCTAGGCGGAGAGAGATCGCTTAAGGCACCTAGAGAGCTAAGTCCCGAATAAAGGTGCTTTACTAGTATCATGATGGTTACGTTGGTGAATGTGAGACGTCGATGTGGGAATATCAAATGAAGAGATAAATCTTACCGGGATTCTAAGAAATGTCAAGTCAAGCGCGGGTGCGTCTTATATGGAATTCGAGCCCAACTGCGACTGGTCGAATGAGAACCCTTCGTTTATTTCTTTTCTAGATTCGCCTAATTATTTTGAATTTTTTGGGGGACGAAACCATAATTCGCTGATATTGATAAAGCTACTTTACCAAAATTGACTCAGAATAAAGCTACTTCAATATAATCTTTTTAACGTGAATGACAAAAATTGTGATATATTCAAGTATAAATTGTTGATCTTAAAGGTGATATGATGTGTAAAACCACATAAATTTAGTACGTATGCATTATGTCAATGTTTATGTCAACCATTATATTATTAAAGTATGATCCTGTAATTAAACGGCTATATAGATATTTGAACTTAAATTTCTATAATGATGTATGTATTACATGGCTATAAAAAATGGCTATAAAACAGTGGCACTGATTACATTACCTATGTATATTAAGGGTGAGCAACGATGCGGAAAAAAATGCACCAGGGTCCATTAATTATACTTGAGTTGCACTTTTGTCATTTAATTGTTTCCACTTTAATTTTGGTACACTATTCTTTTTTTGGTAATTTTCGTCTAAATAATCGAGGTTCCGGTGCTCATTTTTGCCGGAAAAACTAATGTGACGCCAAGTCGGATCCTATTTAGTATTTACTAATGTCCGGTGTATGAATCAGTTTGCAAATATAGTAAATGTTGTGCCATAAATTACCAAGTTATAAAGATGTTAAATATTGAATTGCAAAAATATAAAAGCTGGTGTATTAACATGTAATTTTATCTATTTAATTTGGTTTTACTAATACAAATCTACACTTAAGAAAATAACGAAAAAA